GCGATGGTAGATTAGAAAAAAATGGAAGACTATTAGCTTGAAATGGATCCAGTGTCTTACAATCAAATGCAGATTGCACGCGCTGCGCGAAACCCTTAAAGCAGCCGTTCAGACTTCACATTGACGCGCGTCAACGCTACCATTGCAGCTGCCTCCTCAATGGTGTAGACAGGAACGCAGCCATATGCGGGTATCGATTGTCGCTGGCCGCGTGTTCCGGGAGAGTATAGAAGATTAGGAGGGTAACAGACTGTCTGGTTAGGCGACGCGTACCCACCCTTCCCTCTTCTCCTATACTGTCTTAGAGAAGTAGCGGCCAGCTCTCATACACGTCCATGGCTACGTTCCAGTCTGTGGCATTGAAGCGCTGTTGCAGGTGTCGACGCGCGTTACTGCAAACTCTGAACGCTGCCTAATCCTACGCGCCTTATCAATCCCGGAATCACGCCTATACCTCTGAATAAGATCCCGTATACACGAGCAGACACTTTCCTTGACAGCCGGCTGCATTTACCCCTCCCAGTCCAAAACTGATGGTGAGTTCGGCCGCTATCTGGCCGCATTACTGCTACATATTCCAGATAAAAGAGGTCGTATTTTAGTCTGTGAGGGTGTCGTACAGATTTCCGGAGGATATCGGCGGTATTTGTGGAAGCGTGCGTATAGGGGGAAGATCGATGATTCCTGCTTCTTCCGCATTCTTATGCTGAATCGTAGGATTTGCTCCGTCTACCCCGCTCGCGAGGACACCGGCGGCAGTGCTGAAAGGAGTCGGGAAATGATAGAGCAAAGTGGTGGGGAAAAAATGTGTAGAGGGGTCATGTTTAGAAAGTTCCACTACCCCAATAAAGAGTAGTATTCGCAATCGACACCGGAGCTTTCATCGGCCGTGAAGCTAATTGGAGGAAGCAGATATTTGTAGCGGTTCTTTCGCGCTTTGGTCAAACATCCTGCCACAATCTTCCCTTCCACAGTCCTTCTAACCTGCAGAAGGGACCCACGACTCCATGGGTAGCGCAGGGGAGGATAACCGTGGGAACTCCTCGAGTAAAAATAGTGGTCAGCACTAACCAGGGATCCGTAGTTTCACCACACACTCTGCTGTGTTACCAGCATCGTCGAACGCCGTGTAGACAACATCGATATCCGAGGTGATCATTCGACCAGATGTGAATCCAAATGGTTCTACTCGCATGTAAGCAACCTGAAATTATATGAATTTAAGGGCAATAGGGAGAGATCTAAATATCATTACCTTAATGGCAACAGGGCGAGATCATGGCAACTACAAGAATTACGAACAATTACACGGAGCATGCTTCAAATGCAGCGCCTTTTGTATTTAATTTATGCTGACTGATATCATGAAGTTCCTCACTCACTCCCTTCCGCTTTACCTCACCTTGTCTCATCATAGCGAATCGCGTTTTATCGACCGTTCTGCATCTGTTTCTGCAATGATATCGGATCTCAGAGTACAGCTTTTGGAAAGATCGGCGTTCAGCGTCATTGCATTTGCGGCGCTGAGTCCATTTCCAAACCAACACTAAAAAAATTGCAGTTAGTCAAGAACGGAAAATTTGTAAATTTTGAACCAATTCTAGACGGTAGTTTTTCAAAATGGCAAAGAAAAGCAACGTTAGCATTAAGGCATATACTGGAAACGAGTGGATTCATTTATAATTCTATAACACATAGTCTTCGAGTGCCCCGCGAGATGATAAGCAAAACTACTGAAAACAGCCTCATAATGTACGACATCAATTGATCTTGCACTGGAAGCATTTGTCATGAAAAAATAACTTAGAAGCGGCTCAGCCGCCCAATCGCATCGGGCGTCATATTTCTCATATCACTGAGTTGGAGTGTAGTGCACTAACGGTTGCTAAGACTCGTTTGCACTCATCGTAGACGTTGCTAAACGAACAGTTAGCCACCCCGTATGCAACTACCACCTTCCCCACCAGTGCATGGTATAGGACGGAGATGCGCTTCAAGACAAATTTACGCAATCAGCTTTATTATCGTTAACCAATTCCGCGCTAACTGTCACCTGCATCACTCGCCTCTCTTCTGCAAAGGCGTACAATATCCTGCTGAAACTATGGAATACAGAGTTCGCTTACATTTAAAACAAGGACTATAAGTACTCCATAATATGACAGTGCAATTTCAAAAAGAACGAACTAAAGTGCGAAAATCGCCCTGCTCCCAAACGCCAGAACCCGACGTTACTTTTCAACCCAATAGCAGTTTCATCTGTTTCCTTTTTTTTCTATGAGATATTTGTATTCTGTGCCTAACAACGTGTTCTGATAACTTCGGAGCATGAATAAGATGCCAAATAGACCGTATGAAACGGCGCAGAGAGAAAAAAGTATGACACACCATGTGTGTCACGCGGTCCGGAACGTGTTAAACTCTTTTTCCAGTAGTGGTAAATAGGAATAGATAGCCAATGATCATAATGAGATATCGAAACTTCCTCATACGAACCTGTAGATGTGCAGGTATCTCATGCGAAAGAGTCATTGGAGCTAAACATCCCAGCAAATCGAATCGAATACATGGATTTCCCTCGTACTCTGCTACTCCGAGCAGAATGTAACGAGCACGGAGAGGTGGTGTGAGTTCGAACTGATGCATCGCGTTGTGATTACCGGACGGTGTTTCGAATTCCTAGAATTTTTCGTCAACTAAACAAACCATAATGGCAACATACATTCACCTCCAGGGAGGGTCTTCGTCATGTGCGGTGTGAATCGGTCCAGAGCTGCAGTAGCATGCCACTTTCTTAGCCCAAAGTGTAAGAGCACAAGGCTGGAGTGTAGTGACACCCAGGTTCGTCTGGCAGTGCGGCAGCATGGATTAAGTAATGAGAAGACTTCCGGGTGCCACTACCCTCTGGCCTTATTCCCGAGCACTTTTGAGCGAAGAATGTGGCAGCCTACTGCTAGAGCTGTGGACCCATACATCTCGCACATGGCAAGGACTAGAGTCCATGGAGGTGAACGTAAAATTTGTTTTTGATAACAGTGGCACTATTCACCCTTTACTGCCCCAACCATCCAGAATTGAGCCAGTTTTGACCGACTTTTTTCTCCGTGGACAGATTTGGCTCGAATGTTGTCTCCTGGGATAGTTTGACCCCTGGAATACGAATATCACATTTGCTCGGCCCGGATCTTCCTGCCGCCCGTGCCACAAGCGCCGGTGATTTGGGGAATTGCGGCAACAGCGCCTGTAGCGTGGGTGCTAGGAGGGTTCACGCCGAGCGGATGTGATATTCGTGTTCAGGAGGTCAGACTACCCCTGGGAACAAGTTTTCAGCGAATTTGGTGATTTAGGGTATTTTGGCGGGCGCCATGAGGTTTCGTGCCGAGCGGATGTGATATTCATGTTCAGGAGGTCAAACTACCCCAGGGAACAAATTTTTAGCCAATTTGCCAGCAGAAAAAGTCGGTCAAAAACTGGCTGTTTTTGGAAGATTGGGGCAGTAAAGGGTAAATAGTGCCGATACAGTGCTGCAACAACTCTGTCGAGAAAGCTTCACAACCATTACCTGTCCATCAGTATATTCTAAAGATACAAAATTCATATGAACCATACAATACTCACAACTGGGTAAGTATCGTAGTTCTGGCTGAACTGTGTCTTGTAGAACAGCTGCATTTTTGTCACATGGCCCCTGAGATAGCCGCTACCAGCCACACCAGCCATACGGAGCGTCGTCAATGTATAGATTCTGAACACAACAGATAACATGATAGCAGAGCGTCGTCAATGTATAGATTCTGAACACAACAGATAACATGATAGCAAGGAACGCAATTACCAGTTAGCAAGTGATTATAGCGATTTTTGAACTATTTTTCAACTATCGGAACAAGAAAAAGGCATTGATGCTAACCTTTAGTAAATTTGATTGAGAACGAACTGCACGCAGACAGAAAGAAAGACAGACAGACAGGTACATAGGAGGGTACAAGGACAGGCACACTGGATGACTGGCAGAGTGACTACTGGGAGACGGACAGATTTGACAATAATACAAAGGAAAGAAGCTACCATAGACAGGCCTACGCGTGACAAGCCAGCAGTGTCAGGCGAGGCAGACGACTACAGACAAAAACAGATATAGGGTTGACAACAGACTACAGAGAGAGATAGATGACTGCGAAAGCTGAGAGATATGCAGAACAACTGAAAACGAAAAAAAAATCGAAAAAAAAGGAACTGGTCTAACACAATAATTACAGCTATGAGAGATCTATTTTTATGAATGAAACGAACTGATAAATGCCTGAAAAGTACCTCTGTAGATCTACGCTCAAGAAAATGAAAGCGTCCTTTGGAGCCGCACCAAACCAGTTGACGAGAGTCGTGCCTGAAAATAACTAGGGGGGGGGGGGGCAGGATACGTTCGAAAGCCTATTAGAAATGCCCAGGTCGAATTGCTATGCAATGTCAGTTTAGGATGAATTGCGTATGACCCTGTGGTCCCTGGGGTTCATCAGTCATCGAATTTTTTGTGTAGTTTTTAATACAAAACAAACAATAAACACAATATACAAGAAAAATTAGAATGAAGTGGTTATCCTGTTCACACCGTTCATTTGCCCATCTCCACTAATACTCGAAAAAGGGTCATATTTGAGGCGATTTCGAACAACTAAGATGAAGCTCGAAAATTTGCAATCTCGACTTTCACTTACCTTATGGGGTTCATAGCCCCAGTTGGTGCTGTCCGAATTATCCGCAAAAGCTCCATCTGGAATGAATCCGGACGAGATTCCAACGTCCTCGCTGAGCACACAAGCAGCACCAAGAGCGCACTGGATGGATGCCGACGGGAACGGACGATATCCTGAAAAAATACCAGGAGTAGTTTATTCAAGGATGTGGCTCATGTGAGTATAACAGTCCTTTTACCAGGAGTAACCAAATGCTATTACCTTTTCTATTGCAAGAGTACTTGGCAACGGCTCCTTCTTCTACACTATTGAGTTCAATGGAACCGTCATCTGGGAATCCTGGATCGACGCAAACTGGTCCTGAAGCTTTACATGCTTGACAAAACTTCTGATTTGAGAATTACACTCCGAGAGTCAGAAAACAGAAAGCGTTTTACTGCTAAGTTACAAGGAAATAGAACTTCTGACTATTGAACAAACCTTCACAGCGCAAATCTCCAAGATCCCACGAAGCGTCCACGCCACATCGAACGCTTTTATCGCCAGCTGATGATTTGCCAACCAGTGAGTATGGTGGACGACAAGTGAATGTCAGCGTTGATCCAACCTTGAACGATTTAGAGAAACATTAGATGCCAAATTTTTCTGTAAGAAGGCCATATATTTGAGAGAGACATGGAGGCAGTGCTGACACTGCTGTAGGGCCAAAAAAACTGACTCAGTGCGGCTTGGTGGGGGACCCCATGGTACTCAGTAAGCCTTGAACCTTTATGAAGAAACTGTAAATTCCTGCACGATCGAAGTGGCCTCACTCACACATTTGGGCCTCTCCCTTAAGTGAACCTGTTATTGTCAATTATGACATTATGACGACAGGAACTACTTGAAAGTTGCAAGAGCGCCAGCCTCCGAGCCAAACAGCTCTTAAAATTCCCTGTCACCATGCAGTACTCACCGTAAGAAGTTTATGGATTATAACTATTACATTAATAGAAAAAGCCTCTAAAATGGCCATTCTTTATTTGATGCGGTTCACATCATGCTCTCAATCAAATTCGTGGTAGTTTCGAATACGATCGGCGTTAGAAACAGTCACGGCGAGGATGAATCCATGTGCCTCCACGTGTATTTATTCTTCCAGACTAGTTGGAAACCAGTTTAGTCAAAACCCGGGAGAAAGGTGAAACTTTACTGGGCCAGAGAGAGTTTTATCCGAAATTTCTAACTTGACCGTACACGTGTAAAGCGGTGCCACTTGCCACTTGACCACCTCCGCTATAAACCTAGCATGATCACCTGGTGTCTAATTGCTTATTTAATCATGAAACCAACCTTGTAGCTGCCATGATCACCCTCGTAAACCGCGCCGGCTAGAACAGGAGGTGGTCCACAGTCCACAAATGGGCAATCAGCTGGTGGACCAGAAAGCCAGTACTCTCGACCGTCTGGTTGCGGATCAAAAACGCACTCACGGAATGACGCCAAGGGTGAAGTTTTGTTCGTGCTGAAATAAATGGCTACGATAAGTTCATAAATGCTCTGACTTAGGAAGTATTCATAGTAATAATAGCGAAACTGCACCAACCAGGTCTATTCTCTGCTGTGTGCAAACTATTGAAACGTTTTGACCATAGGCAATGGTGCTGTTCTCCGGTGACACGAACAAACCAACGGCGGAGTTATTCTTGAGCCCTTGACAGGTAGCTGCTGAAAAAAAACGATAATTTACGACCTTTAACGTTACAATTAATTGCCAAATAAAGTACGGAGCCTAGAACTGGACAGTTAGAACTTTCTCTGAGGAAACTCTGCTTTTGAATTTACTTGAACACATCAGGAACTGTAAAGAAAAAATGGCAAAAAACTAACGAAGGCAAAACGGTGCTGTGCCGTTCCAAGAACCGTCCGATAAGCACTGCAAAAAGTCTGGTCCCATCATCTGAATACAAATTAATTACGCGCTTGGTAAAAGCAGACAAAATAGTAGAAGTAGATGAGGAACCTGATATCCGAAATCGCACTGGAACTGAACCACCATAGGGTAGCTGAACTTCTTCAGTGCACTCAACAATTTTCCATTATCCGGTGACTGAAGCGATGGGCACGTTCGTGGTATACACGTTTTGTTGAACCTATAAAAAGGTGCAGAGAAATGGATAAAACTCGGAATACGACAGCCTTAAAGGCAGTGAACACGACTGTTCGAGGCGGGCCGTTATTGCCACTGTCGTTGCTGGAAGGGCTGCGAGAGGGTGTTTGGCCACGTTCCACTCAGCCCTTTCAACAATGGCGTTGGCGACAACGGCCAGCCACCAGCGATTGTGTTCACTACCTTTGAGTAAAGACCGAGTTTTCTGAAGCAATATACCGAAAAGGGAGTCAGGTGAGTTTGGCGCTACTCGTACCCCGGCGTTGACTGCCTATGCTAGTCTTTGTTGACAGTCTGAAGGCCGGTTTCTAGCCTGCTTCAGTCTTTAAGCCAGTCTTGAATCCCCACGACTGATCCAAATGTGCTCAGCTGTTTCTGAACGGCGTTTGGGTCCTATCAAGAGACATAGTCAAATCTGCTACCTAGACGGTTCTTGGATAGGATTGTGAGTTAAAAGGAAGTTTATCCCTGATGGCACACGTCCGTGCGCGAAGTGAGCTAGTCCACAGCATTGGAATGTGTAGTTGATAACGTCGCAGTCACTCGAGGCGAGGGGGTGTCGGTAGGGTGCAATGAGCTCTCCTCTGGCTACCATGCTCTATTAATGGTGGTCGATAGTGGTGAATTTAGGGAGAAAACACAAGTGACGTAACGCCACTTGTGTATTCTTGGGCTGCGCTCATTCCTTCTCCCTTGAAACCGCCACGACTAACTGCGACGATATCAAGTTAACTACCAATTGTGCGCTTCAATGAAGCTATTGGCTTGCGATAGTTTTTGACTCTTATGTCTTTGCCTGCCACTCGATAGCACTACGCACGCGACAACGACGCTACACAGCCAAGTGCACGGCTATAGTGAAGCATCTGGGTGGGCGTACGGCCTATGAGATGATTGTAGCGTGGATCGTGTACCAAATGACGGACCAAGACAAGATAATCAAGCTATCACAAGCCTCTAACTTCATTACCGCCCTGCGTCGATGACAGGAACACGTGTCAACTCGCTTGCGGACTGTCCGTGACTCAGGCAACTCTCTCCGAGAGGGAGAAGGGGCGGGTTCAAGCAGCGCGTTTAGTGTAAGCACTCCCAAGACATCGAAGAAAGTGGGGAATGAACACTCAGGTATGCCGATGGTTGCTGTCGTATAGGTCTCTGATCGTGCGGCCTCGACGCAAATACGGCCGCTTTAGCGAACGCCAACGAGGCCAGCCGACAGTGTTGCTTTAAATGTCAAGGCTTGAAAAAAATTTCAATTCATGATAACGACCAACTTAATCACATCCAGAGGGTGCTCGCCGGTCTCTCCTTCCTTCAGTTCGACTCCACCTTGCCCATTTACGATGAACAAATCGTAACCTTCACGACAGGCACACTGGAAATTATGACACTGGCATTAATGAATGCAAATCAACCAAACCGCAAGGGTGCGTAATAAGAAGTGGCAAGCAACCGAACAGCTAAGTAGGGGATAAGAAGTGGCCGAACTGGACTAATTTTTTGCTTCCACAAGAGAAGCAATTTCAAGCGCTTTGAATTGAACATCAACGGTGTTCATTGAGAGAAAAAAGAGGGCAGAGTTCGGTTAAATGGAGGATGGAATAGTACTCTGCTAATGGTAAGCTTGTATATTCCCATTGTGAAGACCTGTAAATTCCTTGAACTTGGAAGTGGCTACACACAGTTTCCCTCCTTAAAGACAGCCCCCGCGCTCAAGTAGTACATGGTCGTCCTTCCTTGGGCAGGTAGTTCAGCCCCCAAGCTAGATACTATCTCACTCTCGCGACTCCTCAGCGAGCGAGAAGCGAGCTAGAACCGCTCAAAAGTTCTAGTTCTAACGCCTGCTCAGTTGGACCGCCTCACTAGCTAGCTGCCCTCTGACGGAGAGCCGCTCAGTTGTTCCTTGTTGGGACGGCAGTCATTAATCGGAACTGCATGTATTTTTTGCTGACCGCGCTCGTGCTCGTAAATTCTGCTCTCCTTTTCATCACATTTTATTCGATTACGGGAGCACGTACAGTCTAACAGCAAACCCATCTTTTAGGTAAATCGCCGTAAAAACTCTACGGAATGATTGCAATTTCTGTGGTTTTGCAAAGCTCGACTCACTTCAACGTACACTCTAAAACATGCTCGCTACCGTAACCCTAAGTTCGGACGCCGGCTTTTTAAATGTTTCCTTTTCTTTTCAAGAGTTTTTCCTCTATGTTTCTGTTGTTTTTTGTTTTCTTTTCTTCGCATTCGATGATATTCACTACTGGGAGATGTGACAAAGTGATTTTTTGTGAGCCAGGGCTGCAGAGACCACAGGGAAGGTGTGACTGTCAGGTCGCGATTTTGTTTATGGTGTTCTTGAGGGCTCTTGTTTCTTTTTTCCTTCATTGAGGAATTACTTATCAGCTACTGTTTCATAATTGATCAGCAATTATCCTTGACACTTTTATCGCGGGAGCTGTCTTTAACAGGAAATGTAAGCTTTCATAGCGTCTGGTAAAGCGAGGGAACTTTCTAGATAAACTAAACTTACGGAGTAACTGCCGCCCAAAAGCTGCAAAATTGACTCCCCCAAAATGAACCGAGGCCACCCAAAGAGGCGCGTTAATGTTTTCTACGGAATCACAGGCAGCCAAAAATGTTTATAGGTTAGCATAGGAAACGGCGCACAACCTTACTATGAATCTTGCATTCCGTTAAACATCTTTCTTGTGGCTGCCAAAGAAGCTCGACGCACTTCACTACACCCAAAATATGCACGCTACCGTAACCCTAAATTCGGACGCCGGCTTTTTAAATGTTTCTTTTTCTTTTCAAGAGTTTTTCCTCTATGTTTCTGTTGTTTTTTGTTTTCTTTTCTTCGCATTCGATGATATTCGCCACTACTGCGGAAAGTAAATGGTGACAAAGTGATTTGTGTAGCCAGGGCTACAGAGACTACAGAGGAAGGGTGTGAATGTCAGTCGCGATTTTGTTTATGGTGCTTTCTTGTAGGCTCTTGTTTATCTTTTTCCCGTCTGTCATTGGAGGAAATAGCTTATCAGCTACTTGTTTTCATTAAGTTGATCCAGCAGATTCATCCTTTGTACACTTTTAAGTCACGGGAGCTGTCTTTTAACGGAAATATGTAAGCTTCAAGTAGGGTCTGCTACTTAAGCGAGACTTTCTAGATAAACATAAATCGTTAACGGAACAGACTAAACTGCGGGCTCAAAACAAAAAAAGTTTCGACAAAATTTAGTCCTTGCCAAAATGCCAACCAGCACAAAAGACGTTAAATTTCAGCGAATTACCAGAGCCAAAAATATGGTAGACGAGAAACGGCGCCACCCAAACTTAGTATGATTCCCTTGCTTAGCTTTACACTTTCTGTTGCGTGCAAAAGCTCGACGCACTTCACTACACTAAAACATGCTCGCTACCGTAACCCTAAGTTCGGACGCCGGCTTTTTAAATGTTTCCTTTTCTTTTCAAGAGTTTTTCCTCTATGTTTCTGTTTTTTGTTTTCTTTTCTTCGCATTCGATGATATCCACTACTGGGAGATGTGACAAAGTGATTTGTGAGCCAGCGGCTACAGAGACCACAGGGAAGGTGTGACTGTCAGGTCGCGATTTTGTTTATGGTGTTCTTGAGGGCTCTTGTTTCTTTTTTCCTTCATTGAGGAATTACTTATCAGCTACTGTTTCATAATTGATCAGCAATTATCCTTGACACTTTTATCGCGGGGAGCTGTCTTTAAACAAAAATATGTAAGCTTTCATAGTGTCTGCTAAAGCCGAGACTTTCATAGAAAACATAAATTACGGGTTAACTTGCAAAGTGCCAAAATGATCCCCAATTAACCCGAGCACCCAAAAGAGTTAATTTTCGAGGAAAACAGAGCCAAAATGTGGTAGAAGAAACGGCGCACACACCTTATATGATCCTTGCTTGTTAACACATATTTGGTCACAATGACCGTTATACTTCATACATTCGTTCACATCAGCACACGACGACTTCTGACATCCAAGGAGCTCAATCTAAATGATTTCAGTTGATAGAAAAATTTTAGAAGAATCTTCTGAACTCTGATACTACCCAAAGAAGAAAGACCGAAGTAGAAACGTGCACAGAATGCCCGTGAATTCCCATACTGTCGCGATGACGCACGTAGGCGCAGTTACCATTGCATTGGCCGCCTCCAGGTGCTGTAGACGGAATTCAGCCGTAGACGGGTAACGATTGACACTGCCGGCTTGTTCTTCGAGGGAGTATGGGATAATGAGAGTATGGGATAATGAAAGGATAAACGCTGCCTTTTCACTGCGAATAGGCAACGCCTACCATACTGTTCTCCTATACTCTCTCAGTGGAGTGGGGACCGGTGCCAAACGATATCCGTCTGAAGCTGCCCGCCCGTCAGCACTGGAGTATGGTTGTTGCCACACATTACACCACGTCGACGCGCGTCATTTTGAAATCTGAATGCTGTCCTGGCTGATTTCGAAGGAATTGAAGGCTTACGGCAATCAGTAGCAAGTATTTGCTACTCTGAGCATCCTTTTTGACAACCCCAATTTCGCCATCTGTGGAAAGTTCTACTCCCGCAATCAGCGGTCTATGAACCATTCAATACGATTAAAACTTGCGGAGCTCACCTTCATACATGCCCCTGACTTGAACGAAGCCACGGAAACCTCGAGTATGCGAGATTCGATTGAGTAGGGGAGGTCGAAAACTTCACCAGAGGACGAAGCGCTGTTTACAGCGAACTCCTGGAAAGCTTATTCGATCTTTGACGATATCCAACTTCATAGAGAGTTTCTGATCATCATTTTAGTGCATGTGGGAGCTATCCATACGGAAAGTCCACCGACTCACATTCTTTCCATCGACCGATAATTCACGAAGTGGCAGCCCCTCTTCTTCGCTGTAGCGGATACGGATCGAAGTTACTTCTCCCTCAGCCATCTTTTCGAACCTGCAACGTCAAACAATAGCGATCACTCATTGATAAAGACATTGGAAGTAACTCACCTTATCTTTTCAATAACTTTCGGAACAGTGAAGTGTAACGTAACAGATTTCAGGTTATCTGACTTATTTGCGCACCAACCAGCTGTCGACAGTGTCGTGGGCGGTACAGATTCGGATGAAGTGATTAGCGATGACACGATCAAAGCCGATGGTGATGGGCAAACTGAACATCAGCAGAAGTCAGAAAGAGTAAGGAAAAATAACAGAGCGAAATGATGTCGAGCATTTGTCACGATGCTGAGTCATGGGTTAAAAATCGATTATAGCTAAGATTTGAAGTTGGATCTCAAGTTCACAGGGCTAGTGTGCCCTCCCAGCCTGGTGATTTCATGTACGGGCCCTATAATATTGATGCAGACTGGTTGAGGGCCTTCAGAACGTTAACTGTAGGGAAAGATAGTAGTTATCGTAACAAAATCAGGCCCACTAACCTAACTGCGGCTGGAAGCCGCTCAAACATTGGCAGGTGTATCCTCCAGGTAGATTCACACATTTCGTCGAAGCTTCTTGGCACTGGGCCAAGCCTTCAGCACATTCGTTTACATCACGACATGACGGCACCGTCGACAACGACTGGTTGGCCAAGCATTTCACCTGAGACAGTTAGCTCAAAACAGTTATTATACATGCACACGAGTACGTAAGTACTCATACAAATACAAACTTCACAAGTATACAACCGAATACAGTTGGAATTTGATATTGTATAGACTTTTTGACAAAAACAGGTAGAACGAGAAAAATAGGCTACCTCTTCCGGTCCATCGGCTCGAAATCCTGCATCACAATGGACACGAGCCGAATCACCAAACTGGAAAGGTTGCGGCAAACTCAAGCGTCCATTAGCGATTTTTGGTAAGGAAGAGCATGTCAACTCTGAAAATTCGTGGGAATAGTTTGAACTCTTGATTATCTCAACGGCTCTGCCGAGGTTATGTCGTTTAGACAAGAGAAGTGATTCTGGAAGAACTTACTGATGCATTTCGGCTGCTCAAATGACCACTGTCCATCTGTTTTACATAGTAGTGTAGCTGCACCTTCACGTCGGTATCCGGGGCGACACTCAAAACGGAACACTGTCCCATAACCGGTTCCGTCACCGAATTCCAGCCGGCGGTCACCATTTGCAAACGGCAGCAGAGCAGGACACATCGCAGCTAGAATTGTTATTAAATATTTTTCGGTTCGGCTTGGTGGACGCACCAAATAGTACTCAGCAAAAACAGGCACCATTGAAGAAGTGGTTAATTTTGTTTCAGTTTGGTTCTCTTGTGCTACTCTGCGGCTTCACAAGTTTTCAGGTCTCACCAAAGTTATACCTGTTAGTTAACGTGATCTATCAAAATGAACTAGCGAAAGTGCAAAATGCCCCTCCCCCTTCAGCCGATCAGCGCCACTCTTCCCGTGCGAACTTTTCACATCCTTCTTAAACTGCTAAAGACAACTACAGCATATCAGCACTTCTGCCGGGGACGATAGCTGACAGCCGGTGGATCCCGCTTCATGTAACTGATAAATACACAACCAATGTTTTTTTTATTGACTTATCAACTGATAACCGCTCTCTTCGTCTCTGACATGTCCTGAAAAAAAGTCTTGGCTTTAACACCATGTATTTGCAAAAACCTTTTCCGATGCCGGGAATCGAACCCGGGCCTTGCGGGTGAGAGCCGCAA